GATGATGATGTGATTTTGTCCTTTGGTATAGTATGCTAATAGATTTCAAATGTTTACATTCTTCGGATAAATCCCATTTGGTCATAGTGTATAATCCTTTTTATATAATGCTGGATTCAGTTTGCTTGTGTTTTGTTGAGGATTTTGTGTCTATATTCATAAGGGATATTGATCTGTAGTTTTCTTTTCCAGTGGTATCTTTGGTTTTGATACCAGGGTAAACCTGGCCTCATATAGAATGAGTTGATATGCGTTCCTTCCTCTTCTTTTTTTTTGGAAAGAATTTGTGAAGAATGGATATTCTTTAAATGTTTGGTAGAATTTGTCAATGAAGCCATCTGAACCTAGGCAGATTCTACCTTATTGCTGTTACTGACAAGTCTGCTGATCATACAGCTTCATGAGTCCACAAGCCAGTTATCAGTGTACTGCCACAATGCTCTAAACTCACCCTTACTGCACTGAGAAAATGGATCCGAGTCTTTTAAACATTATTTCTTTGCTATCTAACATAAAGACAAGTTTTGTAGGTAGATGGCCCTGAAGAAGCATTTCAGGAGGAACAGGGTTTGCTTACTGGTTCCAGTGTTTATTCTGGTATACTCCTGCAACATGGCAGCTTCTCCAGCATCCGCTCCTGCTTCTCTTGGTGGCGAGAAGCACCCAGCAGCCAGCAGTTTTCCCTAGCACTCTAACAGGCAGTTTTGTAACAGAGGCTTCCAAGAGATAGTCCTCCACGAATAGCTTTCAACAGAACCCTAGTAGTTCCAGCAAGTTCTGGAGGGTGGATTTCTTTTCAAGATTTATTTATTTTAGAGAGAGACAGAGAGAGAGAGTGTGTGCACAGGAGCGGGGGGAGGGGTGCAGGGGGAGAGAGAAAGAGAAGCACATTCTCTGCTGAGCACAGAACCTGACTTGGTGCTGATCCCAGGACCCCAAGATCTTGACCTGAGCTGCATACTTAACCAACTGAGACACCCAGGCACCCCTGGAGGGTGGATTTCTAAGTAAGTTCCACGGGCACAGGTTCCCAGTGACTTCTTACTATTTAAGGAGACATGACCATGTCCTCTCCAACAAGGTCTCAGTCAGGAGCAGGAAGAGACTTCCTCAGATGTGCTATCTCATTACTAGGCATAATGGCTGTTCCTTACAACAACAATTCCCATACTCTTTAAAGCTCTCCTTAGTTTTTGCTTGCCATGATTATTTGTGATTAAAAACACTGGTAGCAAGATTCAATTGTAAGTGATCATTGTAAGCATTTACAATTAAATTCTTTACTTGAATAAAGACATTAACAATACTTACATGGACTCTCAATTTCTGTATATAAATCAGCACGTAGTTCATTTGTAACTTGAAAAAGACTAAAAAAATCTTTTTTTTTAAAGATTTTATTTATTTATTTGACAGAGATCATGAGTAGGCAGAGAGGCAGGCAGAGAAAGAGGGGGAAGCAGGCTCCCCACTGAGAAGAGAGCCCGATGTGGGGCTTGATCCCAGGACCCTGAGATCAGGACCCGAGCCGAAGGCAGAGGCTTTAACCCACTGAGCCACCCAGGTGCCCCAAGACTAAAAAAATCTTAAAGGTTCACTCAAATAACCCATTCTTTGGGACATCCTCCTCCCCACAGAATGGTAACCATTTCATCCTCTCTACCCTTGGACTGACACCCTAATCAGGTTGTTACAGCCACGATAACCCTTGATATTTTCATACGGAGAGAGCAAACTCCTCCAGGGCAGGGGCCATGATTCAGGTGCCTCCTCAGCTCACTTCCTGACTCAGAACAAATGCTCAACTAGTTTTACTGATTGAGAGGAAAAAACAACCCCTCCCCCTGCCCCCTCCTGGAGCCTAGGTGGTTCAATGGGTTGGATGTCCAACTATTAATCTCAGGTCTTTTTTTTTATTTTTTATAAACATATAATATATATTTTTTCCCCCGGGGTACAGGTCTGTGAATCGCCAGGTTTACACACTTCACAGCACTCACCATAGCACATACCCTCCCCAATGTCCATAACCCCACCCCCCCCAACCCCCTCCCCCCAGCAACCCTCAGTTTGTTTTGTGAGATTAAGAGTCACTTATGGTTTATCTCCCTCCCAATCCCATCTTGCTTCATTTACTCTTCTCCTACCCCCTTAACCTCCCATGTTGCATCTCCTCTCCCTCATATCAGGGAGATCATATGATAATTGTCTTTCTCCGATTGACTTATTTCGCTAAGCATGATACCCTCTAGTTCCATCCACGTCGTCGCAAATGGCAAGATTTCATTTCTTTTGATGGCCGCATAGTATTCCATTGTGTATATATACCACATCTTCTTTATCCATTCGTCTGTTGATGGACATCTAGGTTCTTTCCATAGTTTGGCTATTGTAGACATTGCTGCTATAAACATTCGGGTGCACGTGCCCCCTCGGATCACTACGTTTGTATCTTTAGGGTAAATACCCAGCAGTGCAATTGCTGGGTCAGGTCTTTTTTTTTTAAGATTTTTTTTTTTTTTGGTATGTATGTATGTATGAGACTGAGAGAGAGAGCACTAGTTGGGGGTGGGGAAGAGGCAGAGGGAGAAGCAGACCCTTCGTCAAGCAGTGAGTCCCAGGCAGAGTTGGATTCCAGGATCCTAAAATCATGACTTGAGGCACAATTAAGTGTTGGAGGCTTAACTGACTGAACCACCCAGGCATCTTCGGCTCAGGTCTTGATCTTAGGGTCTAGTTCAAGCCACCGCCCAGCGTGGACCCTACTTAAAAAAAAACTAAACAAAACCACCTAATTTCACCCGTCAACAAAGAAAAGCAACAATTCTCAAGGTGCAAAGATTTCTGAGGAGGAGGTTTTGGGAAATTGTCTGGAAGACTCCGGTCCAGCCCAACCTTTCCAAGTATTGATCTGGTAATTTTGCGTTAGAAAATCCTGCAGGTGGGGAGGTGTGCGCCACAAGCAGTTGAGGGCACCACCACCCTTACAGCTTGGCTCTAAGCGGGCCGTCTCCAAACAGGGAATGGGCCTAACATTCCTGGGCCCATCTGCTGGGAAGCCCTGACACCGGGGCCCACAGCTAAGCTTGCTCTCCACCCGAGAGGGCCTGCATTAACTGCATGGGCCCACCCTCCTCTGCATTCCCCAGTCCGACGGCCACTTCTGGATCCAGAAATAGCAGCACGCGCCATTGGGAAACGTGAACTTCGTAACCGCGACCCAACCAGACCCCGGGGCTGAGCCTCAAGTCGCGGAAGTCCGTGGTCACAAGCAAGGAGCGTTAAGGCCTTCCCACACTCGCCGAAGGCCGCGGCTCTCCACTCCCCTGCACGCTGGCGGACCTCCGCAATCCCCAGGCCCTGACCGCCACGCCAAGCCCTGCCATGTACTCACCAGTGGCCGCAGGGCACCGAAGCAGCGAAACACAATCACGACACAGCACGCGGCTCAAAGGAAAGGCGCCCTTCCCGCACACCCCGCTGTCTGGGCCCGCCCCTCGGAGCTGAGGCCCGCCCCTTCCAGCCCCAGCTTCCGGTCTCCGGGCGACTGCCCACCTCTGGACCTCAGGTTCCTTTTGTTGACTTGGGAATGCGCCAGGTGGTATTCACGTGCCGCCCCCAAAAGGTGATGGGCTTTAAAGGCCTACTTTGCCAGCTTTGGGCTAACTTTTCCCCAAAGACTTCTCTATCAGTATGGGGTATGCAAGGGACAATCTTGGGATCATTTCCCGACCCCTCTCTCTGCTTGGCCCAGATCGGAGGCCACTGAGCCGACTTTGGGCATGGCCTTGGGCCAGCCACGATTCAGGCGGTGTTGGTCATCGAATACCCACTGTTTGCAGGTCCTATAGAGCTGGGTCGAAGTGGGGAGGAGGGAAAAAAATCTGCACCATCCCTCCTGTCAGGGTAACCGATCAAGATAGTCTCCTACAACAATCTGACTGCAAAACAGCAAAAGCTACGTTTCAGTTGTTCTCTTAATACTTCCTTACTCAGTTGGCTCGCCAGCATTTTGCCAAATTTGGAAGGTAAGTTAGAGATGATCTGTCTTAAACGTCCCTCAAATCTAAAAATTCATGCTGGAAAGCCAGAGCGTCAAAGAGATAGGCAAAGCCAGGGCCTCCCAGTCCCCAGAAACAGTCAACCCTCCTGCGGAATCTCACCAAGCGCTAACTGGAGATGCTAGTGTACAGAGGAAAACAGTGATTTCAAGTAAGAGCAGTCCTGATGTGCTATGAATCTGGAATTCATGGAATTCCATTGGAATTGGGCAACTAGCATGGTTCAGGGAATGCAGCTCAGGGAATGTAGCCGCAAGGATTTAATTGCAGTTACTGATTTCTCCAGGCTATGTAGGGGTAGCTCAATTATGTGGAAATGCTCACGTGTATGTGTATATTTTCAGGGGGAAAGTCTGCGGAGAAATACACAGCAAAACGTTAATATGCATTCATTCATCAGGTACTACCTATTTAGGTGCTAGACCCTGGGGTACAAAGTGAGAACTAGCTCACAGCCTAGCAGGAGACAAATGGGGGGCAAGACTATCACCTTTTATTTTCTTTGTATTCTTCTCTTTGTTTTCCACAATGTGAATAGGTATCTTCTCTAGCAAACACCAAAAAAAGGTTTTATTTTGAGAAAGGAAAATACTTTTTCTTCTTAGGGCGCAGTCGGAAGGAAAGGCTCAATCCCCAAGCCCCTCTGCTCAGCGCTCAAAGTTCCCACGGAATCATACGTAGGAGCGTCTTAGAATCCTGCGGTGCAACCCGAGACAGCGGAAGTGAGGGATCTGCCACCGCCTTAAGCCGTGTTTCTCGTACTGTTCTGCAGAAAGGCTGCAAGATGGGAGACGGGCGAGAGTCCTAATCATAACCACCTCGCCAGGACCCCAGCGCACAGCGATCAGGTTTCACAGACGCGGGTTCAATACCGATCGATCTCTACTACCGGAAACGGAAAGCTGTGGGCAGGCTGGCGATTGGACGCGGAGGCGGAAGCGGAAGCGGAAAATTGCGTTTGGTGGCTCCCGATATGGCTGAGGCGGCGGGTGTTACTACCGAATCCGTTGCGGGAGACAGGGCGCGGGCGGCGCGCACCATGCTAGATCAGGTGGTACTCCCGGGTGAGGAACTGCTGTTGCCCGAGCAGGAGGACGCTGAAGGCCCAGGAGGTGCTGGGGAGCGACCGCTGCTCCTGAATACGGGGACGCGCTCCCGGGGACGCGTTGTGTGCGGCCCGGGCTTGCGGCGCAGTGGCGACCGCCTGCTGGTCACCAAGTGCGGCCGCCTCCGTCACAAGGAGCCCAGCGGCGGCAGCAGCGGCGGTGGCGTTTACTGGGTGGACTCACAGCAGAAACGGGTGAGTTGGGACTCCGGAGAGGACTGATATCCTCGCTCTGGGAAGAGGCGGGGGTGGGGCCGTGGACCTCTTCTCTGTTAATGCTAGTCTAGAGCCACCGTAGTCATGTGTCCTCCTCTGCATCCCCTTTAGAACACTGTGAACAAATGAAACGTAGCCTGAGAAGGGCGACCAGGAGAGAAAGGAGACTAGAAATCTTGGCGTGTGGGGGTTTAAGGATTGTAAAATACGGTCATTCATTCAAAATCTCAAAGGCCAGGGAGCACCAGACCTATCTTTTGGAGTCCCAAACGGCAGAAATCCAGACTCAGTGAGTGGATGTTCCAGGGAGTTAAATTTCTCTTAGAATAAGGACTTTAATATAGGAAAAACTAACAGTGCAATAGACTTTTTCGGTTGTAGGATCCCCTGTACGACTAGACTTACTATGCCAGCAGAAGCTCTAGGGACTTTCTGATAAGAATGCAAGATGTATGGGAATACTGGCTGAAATGAACAGAGTATTAAAGCTGTAAAGAGAGTTAATGATGTGATTGTTTTACTGAGCGTAACATATCAGATTTGTTGTTGATTTGTATTAATTTGTAAATTTGAATTTCAAAATATTTTCTAAATAACACTAATGACAGTAAAGTAACCACTAAGAACTTCCTGAAGATACCTTCCAAGATATCTTGGAAATGATTATCATTTATGGCTGTTTTTTCATTCTATTTTCTTCTGTAGTATGTCCCAGTGAAAGGAGACCATGTGATTGGCATAGTGACAGCTAAATCTGGAGATATATTCAAAGTGGATGTTGGAGGGAGTGAACCAGCATCTTTGTCTTACTTGGCATTTGAAGGTGCAACTAAAAGAAACAGACCCAATGTGCAGGTAATGATGGGAGCCTTTGGTTTCAAAAATAGGAAAAGTATAACAATATCCAGAAGCCTACCTGAATTGTCTCCTAAGCATGACCTATTTTCCCAGTTGGGGTGATCTCTGAACATCTGTGTAATCACCTCAGGCTCCACAAGTTCCTTCCAGTGCTCTAGCCCTGGGACCAGAGTCACATACTTACTTTACATTGGCTATATTGGGGGTGGTTTCGTGTCTACTGAGTTGAAAGGTTATATCTCTTCCCTCTGTTGTTATCTGTTATGTCCATATTCACTGGACAAGGAAGTAAGCCATAGGCTTGGGGAGGTAGGAGGGATAAACAGTGCAGATCGCCATATCAGCCAGCCATGCAGCCTGATAAGTCCTGGGACTGGCATCTCAAGGACTTAAGTCACATCCCTATTTCCCAATAATCTCTTCTTGGAGCTGACAGAGGGGCAGTCTTGATACCTCAGGTTTTCCTATTTGGAATCTTCAGGTAGCATAGCCACACTTTGTCCACCCAGAAATTTGATGGTTTCTTTGCCCCTTCTCACTAACATTTCATTTGTCTTTAGTTGCTTAACCTTTACTGATCCTCTTTGTTTCTATCTCTGATGTTCTATTCATTCATCCATGTATATCCCATTTTGCAAGTTTAGACCTTAGCTACTTTTGCTTTTTTCAAGATTTCATTTATTTGAGAGAGAAAGAAAGCATGAGCACGAGCAGGGGGACAGTCAGAGGGAGAGGGAGAAGCAGAATTTCTGCCGAGCAGGAAACCCGATTTGAGGCTTGATCCTAGGACCCTAAGATAATGACCTGAGCTGAAGGCATCAGCTTAACCTACTGAGCCATGCAGGCACCCCCAGACCTTAGCTACTTCTTGACTAGACTTGGTCAGTGACCTCATTAACATCCCTGCTTGTATACTTTTGTTCTTCCATCCAGGCTTTTGAGAGCTGACAGCCTCAAACAATTCCCTTTCTCAAAAAAAAAAAAAAAGAAAAGAAAGAAAAGTTTCTTTGAAGCCTACAGATTTTATTGGCATTATACTCCAGAAGTCTTTCCCCCATCTATAATTTATCTTCTATGTAGCCATGCTTGAACTGTCCCCCTCCCCGAACTCTTCAATAGCACTGCTGAATTCCTAAGTCACTGCTCTTGTACCTTTCCTCAAGCTGTTGCCTCTATCTGGATTGCTTTTTCCCCTTAGCCTTTGGAACACATGCTTATTTTTGGAGAACAAGGGTAAACACCACCACCATTGTAAAACCATTCTTCATCTACAGTCACCTTTCTTATAACTTTAGCACTTACAAAGTCTTAAATGAACTTTCATATATATATATATATATATATATATATATATATATTTTTTTTTTTTTTTTTTTTTTTAAGATTTTGTTTATTTATTTGACAGAGATCACAAGTAGGCAGAGAGATAGGCAGGGGTGGGGGGGAAAGTAGGCTCCCCACTGAGCAGAGAGCCAGGAACCTGGGATCATGACCTGAGCTGAAGGGCAGGGGCTTTCACACACTGAGCCACCCAGGTGCCCCTGAACTTTGTTACTTATATGTATATCCCCAGTGTCCTCCAAGACCAAATGCTTCTGAATACAAAGAATGTTTTTGTTTCTCTTTAGTTGCTAGTCATCAAGGAATAATAGATATAGAACAGAACAAGTTCTCTCTCCTCTATTCCTTTTGTTTCATCATTTTGAAGTTCAGCTCTGAGGTGTGTGTTTTTTCTTTGAGAGCGAGAGAAAGTGGGACGAGGGAGCCTCTCAAGCAGATCTCACACTGAGGGCAGAGTCCTCTGTGGGACTCCATCTCACAACCCTGAGATCATAACTTGAACCAAAATCAAGAGTTGGGTGTTTAACTGACTGAGCCACTGGCACCCCATCTGAGGTTTTTAAGTTTTGCATGAAGTATCAGTGAATTACCATTGTTCATTTTACTTTGAAAAATTTGCATGCCAAGAGTTTCCAATCTTCTGTAATTCCCTAGGATAATGCCATCTACTAGAACTTTATGTAATGCTGGTGTTTTATATCCACACTCACTGGTAATGGTAGTCACTAGCCACATGCAGCTGTTGAGCTCTTGAAATATGGCTAATGCAATTGAGGAACTGAATTTCAAATATCTAACTTTAATTAATTTAAATATAAGTTTAAATAACTACATGTCGGTAGTGGTTACTATATCAGATGGTATAACCCTAGAGGATGTTGTCTTTGAGATAGCTCCCAGTTTGAAGAGGGTACACACCTTAATGTAGCCTTTTTTTTTTTTTTCTTTTTTTTTAAGATTTTATTTGTGAAGAGAGCCTGAGCACAAGTGGGAAGAGTGGCAGGCCGGAGAAGCAGGTTCCCTGCTGAGCAAGGAGCCGGATGTGGAACTCAATCCCAGGACACCATGATCATGACCCAAGTGAGGGGCGCCTGGGTGGCTCAGTGGGTTAAGCCACTGCCTTCAGCTCAGGTCATGATCTCAAGGTCCTGGGATCGAGTCCCGTATCGGGCTCTCTGCTTGGCAGGGGGCCTGCTTCCCTCTCTCTCTCTCTCTCTCTCTCTGCCTGCCTCTCCATCTACTTGTGATCTCTGTCAAATAAATAAAAAATCTTTAAAAAAAAAAAAAAAAGACCCAAGTGAAAGTCAGATGCTTAACCTACTGAACCACCCAGGTGTCCCTTCATGTTGCGTTTTTTAAAGACTCAACTCCAGAGTGTGGGTATTCTGGAGGATAGTCAGTCAGTTAGCCGCAGAAATATCAAGGGTTGGCATTGCTGCCTATGAGAAGGAACCGTAGCAGCACCATAGAATGATTTGCGGAGAGGCGCCTGCGTGGCTCAGTCAGTTAAGCATCTGTCTTTGGCTCAGGTCATGATCTCAGGGTCCTGGGATGGAGCCCCAAGTCGGGCTCCCTGCTCAGTGGGGAGTCTGCTTCTCTCCCTCCCTCTCCCCTCTGCTCATGCACTCTCTCAAATAAATAAAATCTTAACCAAAAAAAAAGAGGAGGTGGGGGAGTGATTTGCTGAGAGGAAATGAACTGTTTTCAAATTATCATTTTAGGTTGGAGATCTCATCTATGGCCAATTTGTGGTTGCTAATAAAGATATGGAACCGGAGATGGTCTGTATTGATAGCTGTGGACGAGCCAGTGGAATGGGTGTGATTGGACAGGATGGTCTGCTTTTTAAAGTGACTTTGGGCTTAATTAGAAAGTAAGTCCTGATGCCTTCTGGTTCGCCTATCTTCTTTTAAAATTATACCTTCTTGGAAAGCTGGCTCATCTTTGGGATTCGGATTCTTTGTAAAAAATGTCTGAACGTCCTCAAAGTTAAAAATCAGTGTCCATTCTTAGCACAGTTATAAACTCATGCATTTAGTCCCATTCTCTCTTCATGTGAATACATTAAATTCACATGTATCTGATGGTATAGTTTTTGTGTTGATATGTATGGAGTCTGGGCTTCTCTCCCAGAAAGTCTGCTGTTCCTTATAGCTGTTATACTCAATCCAGATATGAAAACTGGCATTTCCTCCTCTTAAGTCATTTACATACAGATGCAATTTACAATTGTACAAAATAACCAGATTTTTCTAGTAATGGGGTTCAAATGCAGGTGGGCTGATGTGCTCTAAAAGCTTATTCACATAAGGCTCCTGCTATTCTGTCCTGGTAGATTTAATAGTTCCCAGAGGTAGATTCTATTAGGTAGTTAGACCTTTACCTACCAAAAGCTGTGCCCTACGAAAGAACTTTACTCCTAGAGCCCCTGAGCCTCAGAGCTCAGTGTTGGATGCTTCCTTCCTTACTTATTCTGCTGATTTGGACAATTAAGACAGAGAAGCATGTTATTAGTCAAGCAACACCCTTGTGGTTTGAAAGTCAATGCTTCTCTCCAAGTACTGAATTTAATACCAGGGAATAACTTACATGGTCAGGAAAAGCAGCTTAAACTGTTCTTTTAGAACCAAAGATAATAAAAAAGCTGTGATTCTTAAGCCTAGAAAAAAGGTGCTCTGACAGTATATGGGAAGAACTTTATACATTTTTTGTAAAATTGGTGACACAGGGAGTTTGATTTCTTTGTAGAGGACAGAGCCTATTGTTGTGACTTACGGTATTTCACAAATAGGTATATAAAAGATGAATTAATACATCCAAAGTGTGATTGGATGAAAGGGGGCAGCAGCAAAGTCATGTGCCTTGTTTTTGGATGAGGGTGGGATTTTGAATAACTGTGGAGAACTGTCCAGAAACTAGGAGTCTTCTTTTAAAGGAGAGTTGAGTCACACCCTACCACTTTCTTCAATTTAGTTTTCTTTCCATCTCCTCACCAGGCTCCTGGCTCCAGATTGTGAAATCCTACAGGAAGTGGGAAAACTCTACCCACTGGAGATAGTATTTGGGATGAATGGAAGAATATGGGTTAAGGCAAAAACCATTCAGCAGACCTTAATTTTGGCAAACATTTTAGAAGCTTGTGAACACATGACAGCAGATCAAAGAAAACAGATCTTCTCCAGATTGGCAGAAAGTTAGATGGAATTTTTTATGGGTCAGTTGACCCAAGAGACTATGGGTTTCCTGGGGAAAATTTTTTAGGGGAACCTCTCATTAAATGTTCAGAAGACAAAATGTGAATGTACATTTTGTCTTACCAAAGTCCTTATTTTTATAAAAATGTTACTAGTTGCCACCCATGTTCTTGTGGGTGAGAAAAATCATTATAAAATAATAATGTATTTTTTTCTTTACAATAAAGTTTACTAAAAATATTATGGGTTTTTTTGCTGTTAACTCCTTTAGGTTGGCTAAAGTGCAGCTTTTATAATACACTGGAAGTAAGCATTAAAATAATTATTTTCTGATAATAGTGAAACATGTTCACCAAAGAAAACGTAGAATACATAAAGAAGCAAATACACTATAGATAGTCTATGTATTTTTCAAATTGAAATTACAAGATTCTATTTTATATGCTACTTTGTAATGTACTCTGTCCACTTCAAACAACATTTAATGTATTTCTCATGAGTGCTATTGAAAATTGCAATAGTTGTATTTCATTTTCATGTTACAGGATATTTTGGGTATGTCCACTTTTTTGTTCTATAAATAACACTGATGAGGATCTTGAAGCCAAGTCCAAAACTACATGTCTAGGTTTTGAAGAGGTGATAGAGTTGGAGAGGAAATTCTTCCATGCTTTTTGGAGTTTTAAGCAAAGCCTTTAGAGGTAAAAGCCTTTAGAGGTGAAAATGAAGCCTGGCAGATGATCCAGGTTAGGTTCTGGAGGGGCAGAGACCTCCCTGAGAGTATGAGTTACCCCTGGAGCCTAGCCAGAGGAGGTCCCTTCTTGGAAGACAGAGATTATAGAACTCATTCAATATGGTGATGAAAACCAAGGAGCATTATATATTCCTAAAGATGTTTCCTGAAGACTGGGCTGTTTTTAATAAAAAGACACTGATCCAGTTTGTAAAGATAATAGCTCCTGAAGGATTCAATTCTGAAGGGGAGGAGACAGAGCAGAGCAGTAACGTTTTAGTTGAGATCTAAAATACAGTCTCTGAATTTGCTAACAGCTTAGCTTTCAAGTTTACTAACCCAAAGTGGTTAGTAAACTGAAGAGTTTTTGGAGTAACTGAAGCAACTGCATGTAACTAAGAAATGAGGAAAGGGATCACTGAGATTTGTGTAATGAGAGGTTATCCACCATGTTTGTATCAGAGGCAATGTATTTTCTGGTTATTTTTAAGTTAGAGTTACTACTGTGTTTTTACTTTTCAATTCGACCTGTTAGTTACATATATATATGAAGAATCTAGTTTGTACAAGGATCAGAAGGATACGAAGATACTCCCATGAAGTGTCCTGTTAGGAGGCTACCCTAAGGAAGAGAGAAACCCTCCACTCCCATACTCAGAGCAGGAGAGACGGGGTAGGAATCACAAGTGGGAACAAAGTGTTATGGGGGTTTAAAGCAGGGTAGGTTAGGACAGGCTGATCCTGCAAAACACGCAGAGTGTACTACTGAGTTGGGGAAAATCCACACGATCAGAGGAGGCCAGAGGAAGTGCTGCAACATTATGATGCCAGTTGAGTGAAAATAAAACTCTTAATATAACAATAACTATTTAATTGTTAAGCTACTTCTAAAGAGTAGGTATTTCACAAATAGGTATATAAAAGATGAATACATCCAAAGCCATGTAGCTGAGGGCTAATTTCTTGTTATGTAAACTTTTTACATAGTCAACATATCTGGGCTCTTGCTGTGAGCTAGGCACTATGGGAGATAGAAAAGAGCATAAAATGTGGTCCCTGTTCTTAGTAACTTAAATTCTAGTGGCGATCCAAGATGACAAGTAAAGGCAAGTGTGTGCCATCACCAGCCTCTGCTCTGCTTTTCAGTCAAGACACCTCCAGCAGCTTTGCCTCCGGCAGCTTCTCAGGCTGTCCATCATCCACAGAGTTCTGAAGAACATAGCCTTTTCTGGAAGAAACTCCTTTCTTCAGTGCTTCAGGCCAGTTTTGCGTCTCAAAGTATGTGGACAGGATATCAAATACTGTGAGAAGGGTAAAAAGAAAACATAGTGACCACACGGAGGAAAAAGAACTGGTAAAGGACAAGTGAGGAAAGGGGTGTTCTGGACTATGTCATTCAACAAGCTTCTCTGCACTACACGTGGACCCACTTCCCCACAAGGACCTCACCCCACACGGAGAGAGATGGGCCTGTGAACAGACAGTGCTGCGACACTGAGAGGGAAACAGTATAATGGGAACACAAAGGAGAGCCCCTGACATGGCTGAGAGGGGGTTAGGGAGCAGCCGAGATGCCCCTGGACTGAAGAAGGACAATTAGGAATTCACTGTTCAATGATGGGTTGAATCTAGGGCATTTTAGACCACAGGACAAATTTCAACCATCTTTAACATAGTTGGGATCTAAGAAGAAAATGAAAAATAGCTCCGAAAGGCCAGAGTACCTGTCACAAAGTGCGTGCAATAATCTGAGTGTACCAGTCCCGGTGGCAGGGCAGGGCTACCTGCTTCTAACGCCATTTATACTTCCACACAATGCAAAGGAGTAGCACCAGCACTAACACACATTAAGTGTGGGCCATGTCAGCAGTACCTTGATTGATGGCCAGTATCTCTGAATGATAGTTTTTCCCATTCTGGTGTCTGACCATGTATTCCTGGATTGGCAAGCGGGCTGTCTTGACGGAATGTTCTCGGGCTTTCTGAAATGTCACCTTCTGTGAATCATAGTTAAATATTTTTCTTTTAAAAATGACAAAGGTATTCTCGTTGTAATATGCATAACACATTGTGAGAAACCCATTTACCACCACTCTAACTTCCATCTGTAATCATAATTAAATGGTAAGTGTATTAAAAATCAGTGGCCTATGGCAAGATGGAAGAAACTTCAGATAATGAAGAGTATTTACTTGTTCCACATAAGAAACGGCTTGTGCAGCAAATATTTCATTTGGGACTCATCTATCCACTAGTTTCCATTTACTACTACTATCAACCAAGAAGGAAGTAAGTCAAGAGAGGCATATCTGCAGCCACAATATGCATCCAGAAGTTGAAGCAGTCTAATCAATCAGAGGAGAACACTCCAGACTCTAATTCAGTTAGACACAATTCTGGATATCTGGAGTTTTCAGCTTATAGCCATTCGGCAGCAGCAAATTAGAGATAAGAGAGACAGGATTAAAGTCAGAAACACCACAAGCAACAAGACAGCATTAAGGTGTGAGAGCACACAGTCCAATTAAAAGGAAGGGCTCTGAAAACTGCAGAAAGGAGCCCTAAGAACTCACCAAACCCGCCAAATCTGAGGCCATTTAGGATCGGAGTAGAGTAACTAATATCCCTTTAAAGATGTCCCTGAATCGTGAACTGAAGTTCAGATTATATTTGCTATCTTGTAAGTGGCTCTGGAAAGATCATCTACCTACTTATAATTTCAGGATTAAAAAGAAAGGTTTAGATATTGGGATAATTAACATCCTTGGGTTTGGAAGGGGCCTCAATAGTTAATTACCCCACTCCAAACATCCATCCAATCTTTGTCTATCCTTTGTGGCCTCCTTCCCAAGTGGGTTCTGTCCTTAAGTGGACAATCCTTGTGACAGGGAGTTCCATGCATCCTGGGGAAACCTATTCCAATTTTCACAGTACAGAAAGGAAATTCTTGATAGCCAAATTGTGTTCTCCCTGAGCATTCCGCTCATTTGTCCTGGTTCCATCTCCCTGGGGCCACAACAAGCAAGTAAAATGGCTTTTCCACAAGAAGGCGGTTCAGGTTGTCAACAGCAGTGATCGTGCCGCTCTGTACCCTTCCAGTAGTCTCAGTTCTGTCGCCTCTCCCTTGACCACGACTTATGTCTTGAGTCTCTTCAATATTCAGGCCAAATGTTTCTGAATTTGTGCTCGCTGGTATCCTTTCCTACAGGACTGTAACTGTAACTGACTGGCCACTTTGAGCGAGATCTAACCAACTGGAGCAGCAGGTCCTAACACTGGACTAGTTGCTTCTCGGACTCACATGAGACACAATTCCAAGAGAGAACTTCCAAAATGTGTTATGTAATGCAAGTCAGAGAAAATAAAGGTACAACTGCTCAAAAGACTTCCTTGAAGGATAACACTCCTGTACCTACAAGGTCTATGATTTTATTTATTTATTTTTTGGTCTATGATTTTTTTTTTAAGTCTATTCTTTTATAATCACTTTGAACTGGAGTACAAGAATTCCAAGTTAGTAGGAGACTGTTGGATGCTGCCCTGGAAATGCTCACAGTCCAGTTTCTGTTCTCTAAACATTTAAAGATAAAACGATTCCCCTTGAAGAAATGTGCTCAGCATACTTTCTCTGAGGAAGTCAAATTCTCTTATTAATAACCAAAAAATTCTATACCTCTGGCAAATCATTATGCCAATTATTTTTCAATTTAAATACTGCCAGAAAGATAAGACAGTGTGTTGAAACCGCACATCTACTGATCATACATTGCTCACTGACCCGCTAGACTTTGCCTCAAAAAAGGGGATGTCACTCTGTTGTGGGAGACTGCATTTGGCTGTTATGTCTTTTTAATGTCTTTTAACCTATAACAGCCCCCCTAACTATTTTAGTTTTCATACTGTTGGCTTTTTTGAAAGTGTGGTCCAATTGTCTTGCAGAATGTCTCGCATTCAGAGTGACAAAAAAACAATTTCTCAAATTCTAGTATGTATTTCTCATTTAATAGCTGGCATTCTTAGAATTCTACCTCCACCCCCCCTACCTGTTTTTTAGATTATCACTATTGAGGCATGGAACACTGACCTTTCTAGAATGCATGCAATTCAGTTAAGTATCATCTGTATTAAACGTGTATATATCTCATACGGGTATGAAAAAATAAATAAAAAAATATATATATGAGTCCTGCATCAGGTTCCCTGGCAGGGAGCCTGCTTTTCCCTCTCCCCGACCCCTGTTCATGCTCTATCTCTCTCTCTCAAATAAATAAGTAAAATCTTTATATATATATAATATATATATGTATTATATATTATATATATATATGTTTACGGAAACATATTTCAAAACTCCAATTATTCCAACAAAATTTCAACTGAACAAAAGAAATCTGGACAGTCCTATTGACATTGAGATTATGAGATAAGTCTTATGTCAGCAGAAAAGATGGCCTAAGAAGGAGCAAACTCCTTTCTCACAAAGAACAAAATAGCTGGTAAGAATTGTGAGTCAATGCTCCGCTGGTCAAGATCAGAGTTACCCTTGCAGAACTGAAAAGAGGAGAGAAGAAAGGTGTTCAACATGGCTATTTATGTAATTACCAAACACTCCCCATTCTGGTTCCCAACAGGACTGTCACGTCAGGGGATGGGTAACACTGACGATGACAGGGAGCCTCAGTGGAAGGGCCAACCTAGGCAGGATGGGGTCCTTCTTCCTATTCTCTGCGTTTTTAGGCCTTTTGTGTAAGATTACGATAGGGCAGCTGCCTCTGAAAGTAAGCCCCGCTTTTCAAAATATAGTTGTTAGGTCTAAAATGTACATTTACCTTCTGAATGCTTTCGTCCACAAGTCCACCAAGGATGTAAACTTTGTTTAGATCAATATCTTCAAGAGCTAATGAAAAAATGAAGGCCATTGAGATCAAATTGGTTTTATAGTTTCTAAATCCAAAGAAAGTAAAAGGAAAGAATTATTAATGATAAAAGTAGAAACTTAATGAAATAGAAAACCAAAAGGTAACAGATTTGATCACTCTCTGAAAAGACAAAAAAAGGTAGTTGATTCAAATCAATGTTAGGATTCAGAAAGGAGACAAAATTAAAATGACAGAGGAATTTGAAATAATCAGAAAAGAATACTAAGATTAACTGGATACCAATCAATTTGAAAATTATGTGAAATAGTTGATTTTCTGGAAAAAACAGGTATCTAACATTGATCCAAGAGGCCAAGGAAGGGAGCTGACTGGAGAAATTGGGCAAGATTGCCAGGTAGCTCACAAGGCCCAGCCGAGGCCGGAGACCCTACATCTGTACAGCTGTGCACACGCAGCAGCACATACCGAAGGCATAGTGATGTATTCACCCCAAGATGTGTGCAATTAATGTTCATTCTTTTTTTTTGGATACACCTTGGGTGGCTTTAACAAGTTCTGACACAAGGAATAATCAAACACAGGCCTAAGAACAAAGTGCTACATGAATCCATGCAGTAAAGTACATACCGTGTTCTGAGTCAGGAGTCAGGTACACAAGGGTATCCAGAGGAAATAAACTAAAGCAGTCTTCCTCTGTTATGTCTAGCTGAAAAATGTAAATAATCCAATGTAGTGTGAACTAGGTTACGACGTAGCCCACATTGCAGCAACTAGTTACCAGGCACCTATTCTCTATTAGGCATGGCCCTGTGTGCATCCACGGGACACATGTCTGACAATCTGTTCTCAGAAAGTGCTCAGCTGAGGAGGGAAGTAAAAAGGACGATACCCAACCCTACAAAATGAGACAGAGAGTAACAAGAGACCCTAACAGATGTACAGGAAGGCTGCCCCAGGACGACAGATGAGGGAGTGATAATATCAGGGTCAGCCTTCTACCGAAGGGAATGCTAGAGCTTGGTTTCTAAAGAGAGGTGAGAATGACTGACACATACAAAAAGGAAGAAGCACTGAAAATGGGGAGAATCACCAAAGAAAGGCATGAAGACGGGAAAGCAAGGGAACTCCGTAGCCCTAAGAGTTGGTCTGTTGGGCTCACAAACAAGAAGCATAAAACACGCAGAGAGAAGAAAAGCTGGAAATGGTTATATTATAGGACAGACTGTTCAGACGGTAACAGTGACCACAACTAACTGTTCAGGGGTCCGCAGGGTACCTCTCACGCTCCTGCCTCTGCAGACCTCCCTAGGAAAGTTCACACCACCAGGCCCAGTTATGCCACACAAACACACGAGACACTTTTCGTGGCACTTCTTAGGAAGTGATCTGGACTGTTATAATCTCTGTTATTATAGCCTATATTATATTATCTATATTATAGTCCATAGTCTATAGTCTCTGTTATAATCACTACATTCATGAGCCCCTAGGGCAAGAGGTAAAAAGTAACTAAGTATTCCCTAAAACTCATCTCGAATCCATGCTCCTACCATAAGGATTTTCTCTTCCCCTATAACTCATGTTCCCAATTCCTGCACTACTATGAATAAGAAAGGTTTGGCATTTCCCCAAAACATTCCTGGAGTCTAGCATACGATACACAAGACACAAAACGTAGTCCTAGAGACTGGTAATATTAGCTTGCCAATGCAGTGCAAGGACGAAAGTTTGGAAATGTAAGAACTGATGAGAGGATCTAAAGTTTTTTAGATTGCAACAGTGAAAATAATTCACACATTTTTATACCAAAATATGAAACAGTTAAAAAAATTTACTATTACCACACAACCTACTTCTCAAAGGACACTTCAAGTAATATCCACAATGAAGCTTACCAGGTAACTAGAAAATCCATCATTCATCCTCAAACACTCTTCGTATAGGGGACTGTCTGTTGTGAATCCAGTGAGGTAGATCCAGAATGTCCTGCTGGCTTTTTTATTTGAACCATACAACCTTCGAATCTGTCCAGCCAGTCTACTTAATTCCTTCAAAGAAATTAGGACAGCTTAGATTGGAAACATGCCCATTCTTTCTAAATTCATTATCAACAAATGGTTACTCATTAAGTTCACTGAATGCTACTCTGGGAAATCTCATGAATTAGAATGGTCCCTTTTATTCTAGGAGCTAGTATGTGTTATGTGTGTTCATGTAGTAAAGTAAAATGCATGCCACACACCTTACAGATCAAAGTGAAGGTAATGATACTAGCCTGGAAACAGTTAATGGAAAGACTGAGAACTCTCCCTCCTTCTGGACCTGGTGTTATATGTCTAATAAGGTATATGGAATTGTGCTTTCAGCTCATTACTAAAATCTTACCATGTGATATTTACTATTCACTTTAAAAAGGTTAGATTACTACACATTTTTTTTTATACTCATCAGATAAACTTAGCACCTTCTCTCTAACTCTTGGTGATGTACTAGGATCAGAAATTTTAACTTTCCATCCTGATTCAGAGATAAAACCCTAAGGAAAGGTAGTTTCACAGTATGGCCTGAGGAGAGAAAAAACACTTTGGGTTTGATTTAATCTGATATCTCAATTAATAAAAACAGTACAAAATTCTTTGTTGACCTTTTCAGAAGGCTGGGGTTCCATGTTAGAACCCCATATCTTCAGTCTTACTGATTCCTCTGAAAAACATGCAAACAGGAGCACATATAATAGAGATGTTGGCGAACAGAAAAATCCATTTTGTGGTGTAAGGCCTAAAACGAAGGCCCACTACCGTGTGTTGCCTACACATCTTGTAAAACCAGGTGGGACCTGAAAAACCCAGCTTCAAGTTCTTCTCCCAGTTCTGCTCCCTTGGATAAGGTCCCCTAGCTAAACAATCCTTTCTATCAAAGGTCCAAACGTAGTTACTACTTATCCCCAAGTACCAGGTTTCGATTCCCTGCTAGCCCACAGTTATTCCCAGCAAATCAATCACATCTTCCTGTAGGAACCAAGGGGATATTCTGCCCTCATGACACTACAAAGCCTGCCTTCCACAGCCCCTGGTTGTTCATTCTGTTCCCAAGTGGAGCCCCACATGGCCCTGCCTAGCATGCAGTGTCATCCCCCCTGCGCTGAGTACAAGTGACTAATAAACCGCTATCACTCTTACCTGTCCAATGTCAAATGTGTATTCTTCAGCCATCCCTAGAACCCTAGGGTGGAATCCCTCCTTCACAATAGGGTGAATGGAAAATGATTAAAACACATATGTTGCAGGAAAGTGTCCCACCAGGTCATCTCCTCCCCACATGCAACCAGGCAAGTATTCCTTTTCCCAGCAGAAAGCCAGATTTCATCTCTGGAGGACTGAACATGAAAAGACCCCATCTAGACTGTGGACACCATAAACACAGAGGCAATGGTGTGGGGCTCAAAAGAGAAGATAAGATAAAACTTTGCAAACTAAACCAGAGGATATCTATTCTCTTCCTGATTCTTAACAACAGTCATCTTGGAACAGAGTAGCCATGTGTCAAAAAACCACTCTTTTTGCTGGTTTGCTATGGAATTACAGAGGCTGGAACTGGTCATACACTTTGTCAAAGCTGCTCTCTTCTGGACCTCACTCATGTAAGCAGGAATTTGAAACTTAATGGATATCCTACCTTCTTAGACATGTGGTGGGTCATACTCAGATCAATACAGAGTCTTGGTCCTGAGTGTTTGGCTTCCAAAAGTCTCTCCTTGGTTAAGGATCTCAGAAAACGTTTGCTGTGCTGGGGGCAGATGCCTAGAATAGAAATATCAGAAAGAAATAAAAGTGGGGCGGGGTGCCTGGGTGGCTCAGTTGGTTAAGCGACTGCCTTTGGCTCCGGTCATGATCTTGGAGTCCCGGGATCGAATCCTACATCAGGCTCCCTGCTCGGCAGGGAGTCAGCTTCTCCCTCTGAACCTCCCTGTTCTCATGCTCTCGCTCTCTCTCTTTCTCATTCTCGCTCTCTCTCAAATAAATAAATAAAAGCTTAAAAAAAAAAAAAAGAAATAAAAGTGGGAAAACAGGAATATATTCAGTAAGAAACAAATCTTCCCAGCCAAGTGAATACTTTTTGAATATAAAGAGAAACTTGAAACTCATGCAAGGTATTCATTTGGGGTCAGCAGAGTGGTATGGAGTGTGGGCTCTGGAGCACGCTCCTGGGTCTAAATCAGAGTTCAGCCCATTCAATTATTACTACATGATCTTGGGCATGTTATTCAATTTCTGAGCCTCAGTTTCTTTACCTATAAAATGGGGATAATAAAAGCACCTATCCCTTAGGGTAATGCATGCAAAATTCTTAGCAATGAACCTAGCATGTAACAGTGAATAAATGTTAGCTGCTAATTTTATCATTCCTTCTACTTCTGAGCTTATAAACACACATGTGCACTAGATATGTGAAAGGCAGCCTTAAATTTTGCTTTCATTGATACTTTGATTTCCAATAAAATAGAACAATAGATTCTTCCTCCAAGATGTTTGTTTTTACTTAAAACGACAATTCCTAGTCTCCTAGGAACATGCAGATACCAGTCTGCTAAGATAGAAATGATTATGCCAGCAATCTGATTTATTGTTACCTGAATTTTCTACACGATTGGCCTTTCTTCTTTCTTTTTCTTGCTTTCTTTTGCTCTTCTTTGCTGCAACTATCTTTTCCCAGTGTCTCTGTTTTCTTTGGACATTTTTCTTACGTTATCCAGAAAACAAAATTGAGAACTTTGTAAGCACCAAAATGGAAAATGAATATTCGAAAATTATTTATTTTTTTAAATCAGATTTAAAGTTAGGAGAGAAAAAGGATATTAGTGTCAAAAAAAAAAAGAAAAAAATAGACTGGATTATGTTCAGAGAAAGCGGAGACCCAAGAAAGAGATGTGATGTGCCCAAAGTAAATGTATCAAAAATTCCTCTTGAACTTGATTTACTCTTCTTAGGACTCAAGTGGAACTGAAACCTTAAACCAGTTAGTGGGAAATTCATCCAATTTTGGAACATACCAAACTCATTCCTAGCCTTTTTGTTACTAGGACCTACCCTTATACGAGGGGTCTCTGGGACAATGCATGATCCCAGAGCCCACAGCCAGGCTACACTTACTGAACACCACACCGTACCGCCTGTGGGCAGCATATCTCCCTCCCGATGCTCGCATTCCACATCGATCTGTAGAAGCTGGAAGCTTTCAGAGATGCTATCTTCGCCCGTGTCCTCTAGGATGACTTCTTGCTCCTGCAGCACTTGTGAGTCTGTTTTCTGAGCACTCCCTTCCAACTTCCAGTCCATGTGCTTTGTCTTCTGTCCCTTTCACCCAGGTCAGAGAAAGGCACAATGATGGGAGACGTTACATTACTTCCCTCACAGAGGTATTTCCCTATGTCCAAATGTCAAATAGTGTTACTGTGTTGCTGAAAAAGTGTGGAAAGTATTTACACAGATTTACTGAATGGAGAAAAGTATCGGTGTCTTCCAGAGAAATGGGTCAGCAAAGAAATGTTTCAGTACTAAGGGAGCTAAATCCACTTCTTGGACAAACGCAGTTCCTGACAACTCTAAGCACTCATCAATTATTCACTACTGTAGAGACCCAGGTAATTAAGTCATTTATTCTGCTCTTCAAAATGTATGCGCTTGGGTGGCTCAGTCATTAAGCATCTGCTTTCAGCTCAGGTCATCAAGCCCCACATCGGGCTCCCTGTTCTGTGGGAAGCCTGCTTCTCCCTCTCCCACTTCCCCTGCTTGTGTTTCCTCTTTCGCTGTGTCTCTCTTTGTCAAATAAATAAAATCTTTAAAAAAAAGTTTTTTAAACGCATTCAATATTGAGGGTGGGGCAGAAATGACAAAAGTCATCTCCTCCATTATGTTTCCATTTCTATTCAAAACTATTCATCTAGCAAACATTTACTGAGCACGTACTATATGCAGTCCAATACTAGAAATATCCTAGAATAAGAGCTAGCCAAAAACTATGGTAAAGTATGGTAAACAAGAATTCTTCCAGGTTGCTGGTGATGTTTCACAATTTGTTTTTCCAAATGATGTATTCCCTCTCCCAACTCAGTTAAGTATCCCTGCAGCTGAAAGCCACAGTCACCTTGAGAATATTAATATCCACCAGAAGTGCTGAAGTGGGAAAATATGGAGAACCACTGCTATGGCACACTTAAGCAATGCCATAATTTCAAAGTGCTGTTCAAAGTCCCTGGGAAGGTTGTGAGTATAAAATGCTCTAGTCTATAGCTAAGTGTCACAAAGAACATTCTGTCCTTTTCTTCTGGCTGCTCCTCTGAGTCCAGTGTGCTACCACCATCTTTGGAAAACTCTTATCTTTGCAAAAGCAAATCTGTGTAATACGATCCATGCATATAAAAAAAAGACCTAGTTATAATGCAAAGTAATGATCCTCGCTCCAACCCCTCCCATCTCTAGTGGCAACCTGTTAACCAGATGTTTTTAGTTCATTTGGTAATTGACTCCTTAACCTGAAATCATATACTTTCTGTTACTGTGTGAATCAACTTTGAATTTTATCAACTCCCTATGAAACACTAGAATTCAAATCCTCTTATTTTTTATTTTTCTGTTAGTTATACTGACTTTTAAAATGTTTTTGAGGTATAATTTACATATAGTAAAATGCAAAGATTCTCAGGGTATAACTCAGTAATGTGTGTGTGTGTGGGGGGAGGAATATACCAGTTTGATGAATTTTTGACAAAAGCTTAGGGCCTTTCTTACTCACACCCTCATCAAAATATGGAACATTTCCATCACTCTAGAAAGTTCCTTGCCTTCTGCACTTTCCAAGTCAAACTCCATCCCATTCCCACAACCAGCCAAAAGCAACCATTGTTTTTTCTATAACCATAGATTAACTGTACCTATTATAAAACATACAAATGGATTCAACCAGTGATGTTGACATTTTCCCCCTCAACATGTTTTGAGATTCATACATGTTGCTTCATGTATTAGTAAGTTTATTCCTTTTAATTACTGAGCAGAATTCCACCGTATGACTGTATCACAATTTGTTTATTCTCCTGTTGATGGAGATTGGAGATTTTTCCAATTTGGGAATTACTATGAATAAAGCTGCTATGAACATTCTCTTACAAGTGTTTTTGTGGATGTATGTTCTCATATCCGTTGGCTAAGTAAGCAGAGTTGATGGGGCATAGGATAGTTGCCTATTTAACTCATAAAAGACTGCCATCAGTTTCCCAAGGTAACTGCACCATTTCACAGTGCTGTCAGCAACGGAGACTTCCAGATGCTCTGCAACATCACCAACTAATAGATTAGTTCTTAATCTATGCCATTCTTGTGCAGTAGAACCTAGTTGTGTTTCAATTTGCATTATTTTGATAATGATATTGGGCACTTTTTCAGGCAATTTATTGGTCATTCATTTGTTAAGATTTCTGACCAAGTCTTTTGCTCATTTTTAAGTTATCTTTTTGTTAATGAGCTGTGGAAGTTTAACATATTTCTAGAGCCAAATCCTTTATCAGACATGTGTATTGAGAATATTTTCTCCCAGTCTGTGGCCTATTTATTTTCTTCCTTTTTTCTGTCTATTTAGTTTCTTAAGATTGCTTTTTGTTGAGCAGAAATTTTAAATTTTAATCAAGTCTAAGTTATCATTCTCTTCTTTTATAGTTAATGCTTTCTGTGTCCTCCAAGAAATCTTTGCCTACCCTAAAATCACAGAAATATTCTATGTTCCTTTCTAGAAACTTTATAATTTTGGCTTTTACATTTAGGCCTATAATCCACCTTAAATTCATTTCTCTCAAGGGTAACAGTCTTGTCCTGCCTATTGTCCAACGCCTGAAAACAGTTTCTTCACATAATCTGTTCAACTCTACAGCTTTTTTTAATCCTAGGAAGGTAAGTCCAATACCTACCTCTGTCATGACAACTATTAGAAGACATCTTTACTATGTTTAAGAATATCTTTAAACTACTACTTCTTGTTCAACAATCTCAAGGTTAGGCTCTGAACATAAACACCCTTATCTTTCCCTCTATCTCTCTTCTTCCTTCAATGTTTCAATTTCAGCAAGCTGAAGCTTTAATTTACATGTTCAAAACAGAGTCTACCTTGTGTCATCAAAACTAATCCTTTTGGGCTTTGTCTATCCCCTTGGTTGTTTCTAAAATTTGTAAACCAATAAACTGCATTTATATTAACTGTATAAATATTACCCACTACAGGGCCGAGCAGTATCCGAGGATTATATTGTGGGTTTTGGTATTTATCTTATTTGAGAGAGAGAGAGCATGTGCACACACATGTGCAGGGGGAAAGGCAGAGGGACAGTGAGAGGGAGAGATTCTTTAATGACCGAGGAACTTGGCCTCAGGACCTTGAGATCATGACTTGAGCTGAAACCAAGAGTTGGACACTTAACCGATAGCCACCTAGGCGCCCGGTTCTCTAATGTTTTGACCGATGTTCATAGCAAACATTTTTAGTGTTGAGTTCATACTGTTTTCTTGTACTCCATCAAATGTTCAAAATCAGGCCAAATTTTAGTTTTGTTTTTCATTTAGACATAACAGGCTGTTGTAGTAGAAACAACAGTCTTAGGATTTAGCCTTTTCAGCTTTCTACCTCTAAGTAGTAGGATAATAGCCTAAACTATTAACTCTTTGTCACAGATTCTACTAGAATTGGATATTACTACATCCCAGGACTGTTGCAAGAACTAGACATATGTCATTTACCTGACATGGAACAACTGCTCATGAAATACAGATTGTTCAAACCCCTCCAGTGTTGTTTTTTTAGTTTTTCTAAAAAGGTAAGCTGCTGAGCAGTTTTGGGTATTTATCACACATCATGTGAACAACATATGACCCCCAGATATATTCCTGAAGAGAGCCAAGTAAATTTCATTCTAGATTTTCAAAGTTACAGATTAGAAATTGTGTTCATTTTTTTATATAAGCTAAAGTTTACTTTTGCTCAGAAATGCTTTAATACTCAGTACAAATTTTAATATATTTATACCATTGACTGTATCACTATGAACTTATGGCATACATGAAATTTAGCAGTGTGTATTATTTCTAGAGAAATGAGGAAAATACAAAGTTATTCTTAGACATTTCAGAAGTGCTGTGCTATTCACATATGAACAGTGATGTTGACTATAAATACTTTTTTTAAAGAAAAGACAGTGAGACCTGTTATGGCAATTCCTTTAGGTGACTGACCGTATCTTACTGTGCCAAACATCAGTCATCTGCATTTTTCTACATTTAGGCATTCAAAAAAAGAACAAATGAAATCTTTAAGATAAACTGGCCCAATACCTAACAGCCTCATTTTGTTAGGGTAAGAAAACACACCCATTTGTTAAATGAATGCCAGTTTGTTAACAGGCATGTGCTTTCCCTCCTCTGAACTCGGTAGCATTTTTATATTCTGTTTGTTCATTCATTCAGTCAATAAATACTCATTGAGCTCCTCCTCTTTGTCAGACCCTTTTGGGGAATGACTGGGAGGTCTCATTGGAGAAGTTTGGCTTGGAAGGAGAAGAGAGCTAGGGTTGGAGTAGCTGGAGGGGCTGCAGAGTTTTCCACGGTTGTTTAGAAAACTAGGTCTGTGCTCATGTCTTCTTTCCCACCAAACTGAATTCCTTTGCAGGAGGGACTGTGTACTGACATTTACATGAACACTGTAACAGCTCACAATAGAGAACTTGGCAAATAGGTTTGAATAAATGTTTGTTGAACTAAACTGAATTTTACCACCACCCCCATTCCCTTCTTCCTAGTCCCCTCCCTGTATCTCCTCTCTCCAAGTTCCTATATACCCTGAGGGTGTTTTTTTAGAAACCCAGGGTACAGCAATATTGAAAATCAAGTGAAGGCAATTCCAACCACTACCAGAGGAGTCTACAATATAGCAGATTGGGCAGGGGCCACACCTTTTTCATCTCTGAATTGTTAGTGGCCAGCACAAGGGCTGGCATGAAACAGAAGCTCAGTAAATATTGAATAGCAGCTTGCCATCTACTGATCCTCAGAAAGCAACCATGAAATGAGGCATCACAGAGGAACAAATGTTTTTAATCAGTATGAGACATTATCTATGGCCAAATTTAGCATTTCTTCATTAAAAAGTGTTTTCTGGGCACTCCCTGATGGCTCTTGGTTAAGCATCTGACTCTTGATTTCAGCTCAGGTCATGATCTTAGGGTCCTGGGACTGAGCCCTGGATTCTCTCCCTCTACCCATTCCCCCCCTGCTTGCATGTGTGTACTCTCTCTCTCAAACACATAAATAAATCTTAAAGAAAAAATAATGTTTTCTGAGCCTCTGTTGCAGGTCCAGTACTGAGTACTAGGGTTATTCAATTAATTACTAATCATATATAAACAGTTACTAAGCACCCCATATAATAGTACATGCTGAGGATTGTAGACTGATGTCCACCCTGCCTTCACAGGGCTTCAATTATTGGACTCAGCCTTGCATGACAGCTGGTCTGCCTGTTTTCCCACTACATCGTAAGCCCTTCCAGGAAAGAGAGGAAAAAGAATTCAGGTGCCCAACCCCGGTACCCAGTACTGAGCCCTGCAGAACAAAAGCATCTTAAATGTTTGATAATTATGTTACCCTTCTGCTCAGAACTATGCAGTATTCTCCATTTCACTTACAGCACATAACTGAAATCCTTACAATTCTATACTGATCATTAAGCTCTACCTCCCCCATCAAGTGTCCTCTTGCACTTTCTGGTTTACTCGCTGCTCCTAACATACCAAGGATATTCCCACTTCCGGGTCTTTGCCCTTGCTGTCATTTCTACCTCCAATGCTCTTCCCCCAAATAATTATATGACTACCTGTCTCATTCTATTCTGATTCTCACTATCTAACATGGCACATGTTTACTTTTTATCTGAACTTCCCCATTCCTATATTCCTATATCCCACCTGGTTAAATGCAGGTGTTCTGTCTGCTTTGTACACCTCCCCTAAATGCCTAGAAAAAGGCTTGGTACATAACAGAGGCTCAATAAATACTTCCTAACCTAATCAATTCTCCACCCCTCCCCGCCCCCACTTCTGAGTTGGCAGGGGCCTCAGATGTTTTCTAACCCAAATCCCACCTGATAAGCATATCCTTGGGCGCTAAGTGATGGGCCTGTCTCTTTTGCACGCTTCTCTCGTTTTCTAAAATTTAGTCCAGCGAAGCCAGCTCCAGTCCTCTGGTACCTTCAGCACTAGAACACCCAGACCCCCGGCCCGAGGGTACCCCTCCTGTGAGCCCCGCCTGGCCCACAGGCTGCTAGTGTGAGGAGAGGCAGCAAGGCAAAGCACCAAAGGGCGGAGGGCACGAGGCGACAAGACGGTTGAGGGCCGCTTCCCGGCGTCTGCCCCACCAACGAACGAAGCGGCAGTCCCAAGCCAGACCCTTCCAGCCCCAGGCCGGTCCCACAACGAGCCCCAAGCGTACCTGAACCCCTCAACTCACACATACTCGGCCGCGCACATCAGGCCGCGCCTCCGGCACAACTTCCGGTTCCTGCCCCCTTTCTGAACGGCATTCTGGGAGTTGTAGTTCTTAGCCTGGCATCCCGGCGAGCAGGGGCCATTGGAAGGCTTTGCCTTCCACGCCACCCACGCTGGTACTAGGGAGTTGCGTACCGCCCAGGTATTGCCTTGCGGGTTTGAGCCTGTTTCCCCTGCTGTCGGATGGGGGTTACAATCGCAGCCGCTCGCCGACCTCACAGGGCCGTGGCAGGTAACCCGGGGATTTGATGGGGGTCAAGGGCTGGACGTTGTGAAACTGGACCAGTGTCGAACCAACCCTCATCTCACGGGCTAGGCGCTTTGCCCTCCCCTGGGCTCCCCTATAAGCAGCAGAGCCCACGAGCCGACATAGCCTTCCCTGAGCACACAGCTGCCCTCACCACCACCTGGCTGTCCAAGCAGACAACAGGGGCATTCGGGCTTGGACCTTTAATGAATGAGTCTAACCTCTGACCATTTCCCTTTATCCAACTCACCTTACAGATCCACGGAGAAAGCGAGGCTCAAAGACCTGAGGAGACTTGTCCAAGCTTTGGCCTGATAAAAACTATCAGCCACTCTTCACTCTTCCCTTTATTCCTGCAATCCTAGGGGTCACACTTTCGAGAGACCCTAGCATGAATGAACCGGAAATACCTCCAGCCCAAGAAACCATAGCCCGGTTGGATCTCTCCTTGACCCCACACCGTTTCCCTCTCTGGACTCTTCCTTTGAACAGTGCCTGCAGCACCCCGACCCTGCCCTAATCCTTCAGTCCCATTCTATATCCGCTACTGGAACAATTTTTAAATGCTAAAAGTAAACATTCTTTGTCTCTCAGAGGGCTTTTCCTAAAATGCAGTGCCAACCTCTCTTCTCAGCTCAGAAGCTGGTCCTGGCTTCCCACTCAGCACGGTTTGCAAAGTGGCTCAAACCGTCTTCAGTGGCTCCCACCACACCTACCAGTCCCTGCACTTTGCTCTCAAACTGGGTACCTTTCCTCTCTCCCAGCCACTGCTCTTGTATCTCTTCACCTTTGAATGAGCTCATGGCCATCCCCCCAGAAAAGTCCTGAGAACTAGTCTCACTGCTCCTTCCACCTGCTCCTACCCTGCACTCCCATTCCCCAACTCCCACAACGCAGCGGACATCCATTTGCCAGATGATTATGTGTCTCCCCTATTCCAAACCCTAGTGGTGTCTCCCATTGTACTTGAATATAAATTCAAACCTTTCCAAGGCCTTCCTGGCCTGGCTCCTGGCTGCCCCACCAAATTCAGCTGTCACTCTGCCTCTGGCTTGCTGTGTTCCAGTTATACCTGTCTTCTTGAATTGCTTCAAATATACCAAAGACCTTTGCAGATACTTTTGCCTTTCCTCTCACTTTTTCCATGACTGGCTCCTTCTTATCCTTAAGGCTTCAGCTTAAACCTTTGCTCTTCAGAGAGGCCTTTACTGATCACCCAGGTAAGATTATCTCATCCCATCCCCATCTTGGCACTCTTCATTTCTTTCTATCACCTATCAGTCAGTAATCTTTTTTCTGTGTCTTTCCTACTAATTTTAAGTTCCTGAGGAAACATCTGTCATGTTGATGATTTGACTCCCAGTGTCATTGCACAGTAAAGATTTGTTAACAGAATCCGCAAACGAGTGATTTTTTTTCTCCTTTCTTAACACATCCAAAACTTACCTTCCTATCTACCAAATCCGGGACAGGATGCTCAGTAGCTACTCAATGAATACTTCTTGACATAGTTCTAATTAATGCTGCCTCCTATAGCATTAGGATCCTTCCATGATCACTACTCTGTCCCCAACTCCAAAATAAGTTCTCTCCTTTGAGTTCTCAGACCACCTTATCTGTCCTCTTTGGCCACCCTGAGCAGACAATGCCTTATACTGTAGGTCTATCTCTACATGTCATCTTATCTCTTAGACCGGGAGCTCTTGAAGACAGGATTCTTACCCAATTATCTACACCCACAATCCTGCATCAGGCATCACCTGTGATGGGCGTAACAAATGCTGTATAAAGAAAGGAATCAGTGAATGTGATGGTGAGTAGGAAAAGGATGGCGAAGTGTAAATGTCTGCTAATTTCTTAGTCATGAATCAATGGACTCTTGCATTGCATCTCATTCTGCCCATTTCATGTAGGAGGCTGTGTATCTCAAAAAAAGTGCTGAACAGGACCACCCCCCACACCACCCTTCCTTGTAGCTTCTTAACAATGAGGGATTTCCTGGAACTTCTGGAACTTAGTACTTCTTATGGGAACTGCAGAGTAAACTGCTAACTCCATACCTAGCAACGCAAGAAAGTTAATGGATTTGAAGGGGGAGGGAGCAAGGAAAAACAGAAATAAACATTTGAGTGCCTGTGCCAGAGACTTCACAGTCTTCTTCCTGCCTTCGTGATTATTTTTCACAATAATGCTGAATGTGTATCACATAGCAATCTCTAGTTTAGGGTGTTGTCCCATTGATAACAAAATGTATTCAAGATATCTAAGGTATGGCACACTGGAGGCCCTCACTAAATGAGGCTAGTAATAATTCCTTTTGTCAGTTGGGGAAACTGAGGCCCAGAGCTATGCCTATAAGAGCACTGCCAGGATTCAATCCCTGGTTGAGTTGAAGTCCTGAGCTCCTTCCTTTAACTTGCGAACCTATAGATTATGCAGCTCTTCACAGAGCTTTCTGCTGGTAAGAGTGTTCAAGTCCTGTTTAACATCATATAATGTTTATTATTTCAGTGTCCTATGGTTCCTACTTTTCATGGCCACAAAAGCACTTCAAATCTATGTTTGAGAGCCTTATTTAAATGTTATTCAAACTGGTTAACTGATTAGTTAACAAGTAACTGGTAACAAGGAGGAAGAGAATATCTTCTCTTCTCCCCAAAATTGCTTTCCTCTGATTGCCAAGATCTTAGGTACCTAACACTCTCATTCTGCCCCCTGATGCTTCTGGGTAAAGGAGAGGAATGGGGGGGGGCATGCAAACCCACAACTGATTAGGAGTACCAGAGGGACAAAAGGACCCCTTGAATGGGCTCTAGTAGCCACAGGTGAACATCTAAGCCAGCTTTGGCCTGGACAGAGAAGCCAAAGGAAAAAGACATCCCATGGGTATCTTGAAATCAGTTTTCCTGGAATCTGAAAATGAATTGTAGGAAATGGTTTCACCCTAGGAGAGGCATCCATGGAGTCTGGGGGTTATTACTGACTTTTACTGAGTATTCACTAGATTGCTAGATTTCTACGCTGCAAAGCAGGAGTTCTTAATACGTAAAGAGAAAACCAAAGCACAGCAGGGTTAAGTAGCTTGTCCAATGTCCCAGTAAGATTAAGTGGGATTAACTGGCTCAACTGGGATCAGTGAGAAAGGTACTAACTATATTCCTTTTGCTTGAATATTACTCTTAAAAAAAGGCAAATCTGACTCCGGGTTTTCATGTTTGCCGTTTTAGATGTTTACAACAGAAAAAGGGTGCGGTATTCAAGTGTGCAGTCAATTTCTGAGGAAGCCCAGAGCACACACTGGTGGATTGGGGTCACCAGGCAACTAAGGGACTTACTACCACCTAGTGGCAACCTGTGCCTGTCCTAGGGAGGCAGCCAAGAATACCGGGCCTGCGGGGGCGCAGGTCTGTGCTACAAACCAAACCTTATGAAGGTAGAATCCATCAAATACATGTATTCACTCCTATTTGTGAAGGTTATTGTCAAATCAATGGGATCTGAGCAGTCAAGACCATTTTTCAGTGACTTCCCCCTCAACCTTCCTCCCTCATCCCTATCATCTTGGGAGAATTTGTGAGTTCCTCTAGCTACTATACCCGCAGGGTGAACTCCTAGTAGGGTACAATTTCCTGAGGCCAGTCTCCTTATCTGTATTCCCCCTGAGGGTCTGTGAGCATCCTGACCGGGGGCAGGGACTTGTCTTATTCATCTTTATACCCTAAGTGCCTACACATGGCCTGACCCAGAGGAGGTCTCCAATGAATGTTGGTTGAATGAATACAAGTGAATGATTTGACCCAAACGTGTCATCACTCTGCATGATCCAGGCCAGGAATGAAGCAGCAGTTTATTCAAATACTCTAGTAAACATTTTGGAGGGCTGGGTGGAGGAATGGAGGGGCTTCTCAGGAAAGTGTCCAGGGTAGGGCGGGGGCCCGGGGCCAGCAGCCCGCTCATAGGGCAGCGGATGCCCGGAACTTCTGGGTCAAACAGAACACGGCAGCCGTGAGGGCTGTGCACTGACGGGCCAAGAGTTTCACACTCAGGTCGTGGTAGCCTCTCTCGCAGGTCAGCTTAGCCGCCTCCACGAACTGATGGTACGTGTCCACCACATCCCTCAGGTTCCCTGCCGCCTCTCGGTGGCGGCTGGAGCAGCGGCCGCAGTCTGTGAACTGGAAGCACAGGCTGGCCAGCTGGAGCAGGTGCTGGAAGGTGTCCCGCACAGCGCCCTGCATCTCTTCAGGGGACTGGTCCATTCGGATCACATGTTGACAGCTCGACAGGAGCTTCTGGGAACCCATGCAGAGGCGGCTCCGGCTTTCTAAAAAGTGCCAGCTGCACTTCTCGGGGGGATGTCTGTTCCCATTCCCCCAGGAAGCTTCTAGAATATCTTGTAATTCCAGTAAGCTCTCTGTGAGTTGCATGAAGCCCTCTGGGCTGCTGGCAGGGATAGCTTTCAGCTGTCTCAGAGCCCTGGAGCAGTACTCTGGCCAGATGTGGCTCCTCCTCGACAGGGGCTCAGCGCTGCAGCTGTGGGCCCTGGCAGGCCTCCAGGGCAAGGCCAGCCGGCTGCCTGCAGAGGGTGGTGAGGTGAGGGGGGCTGTGGGATGCACTTCCAAGTCCCTGTCT